TTTTTTATGGCTGAGTAGTATTCCACTGTATACATACACCACAGCTTCTTTACCCAGGCATCTGTTGGTGGACACTTGGGCTGCTTCCATGTCGTGGCTGCTGTAAACAGTGCTGCTATGAACAGCGGGCTGTGTGTATCCTTTTGAATTAGAGCTTTGGTCTTTTCCAGACAGATGCCCAGGAGAGGGATTGCTGGATCACAGGCAAGTCTATTTTCAGTTTTTACGGACCCCCATACCGTTTTCCACGGGGCTTCATGGCTGAGCATCTTTGTCATGGTGGTTAGGGCTTTCTTCAACTTCTCTGAAAAATCTCCTGGTTTCCCTCCTAGGTGCATTGGTTTTTTTTACATTTATTTTTATGGTGAATCTCAAACCTGATTTTGTTTGCCAAGAGAGGCAGGACCAGGGCCTTAGTGGCCCCTGAGTGCTGGGTCTGCAGAGCCGGCAGGGCTGCGGGATAGACTGCATCTCAGGCGGGTGAGCTGTTGGGTGGGGGGGGGCGGATAATTTTAGAAGGGTTGGCTTGTCCGGGAACACTTTCAAGACATGATGGACCTTTCCTGGGACTCGGGTGACACGGCTTGGGGTAACAGACCCTCTGGACTGAGCCTGGCGAAGCGGGCTGGGCCAAGGGCTGGACGTGGAGGGAGTATGCGGGGCAGCTCCGTGCTTCACGGAGTTTCGGGGCCGGGGAGCCGCTCCTGATCTGAGGGCAGGGGAGGACGGAGCCTGGGCGGCACCGATGCCCTGTTTCTGTCAGTGCCACCAGCCCCCGTCAGTTCTACTTCTGAAACCCACCTGGCATCTGGTCTTTGCCATCTTCCCTGCCCCCACCGAACTCCCGCAGCGCCTTCTGCACACACGCGCTTCATGGACGTCAAGAACCTTAAGCGTATGCTTCTGTGGGGGCTGAGCTTCTCACTCCAGCCCCGAACCTGGGGGTGGCTGCGGACCCCTGCCACCCCTGGGGCAGCCGGGAAGCTACACGCTTAGAGTGGGGATGTCTTAGATTGAGTTTGCCTCGCCCTTTGCTGCCCGAGGACCTTCTGAGTGTCACTCCCTTCCAGCTGGGGGTGAGAATCCCGTAGCCCCCCCACCCCCCACATTTCCTGGACTTTCTTCACACCTTTCCTTCTGGCTTGCAAAGCAGGCAGGTCCCTGAACGTCGCCAGATATGGACACAACGGCCGCAGGGAGGCAGTCACTGAGCCCCGAGCGGTCG